GAGATTAGCGCGTTTTATTATATTAATTGTACATTGACTCGAACATGTCACCTCGATGTCCAGCGTTCCACAGCAGCGCGATTTCCAACACATTTTCTGCCTCACACAATCACTCTGTAGCAAGAAGAGAGCATATTCTATCCTGAAAAGCCGGGAATGGATTTGCAAGTCCTGCGGTGTGGCAGATGTCCATGGGCGGCGGTTATCAAGATCGACTTCTGTTCCCGTTTCCCATAACAAAAACATTATACAGTACAAGTTAGACGTATCATAAGTTTTTAAAAATAAGTTAACGTTTCGATTAAATTGCGGATTGCAAGAGACCTGTGCATTAGCAATAAATAGCCCCAGTGAACTTAAACGCAAATTGTCGTACGCTAAAACTATATATTGCAAGAAATCTGCATCAAGGCGGCGAGTGAAAATGATATTCGCGACGGGATATGATCATCGAGACGAACCAGATGGTGATCATAAAAATCCTCTCATGCAATCACATTTTATGGCGCCATTACGCCACGAATGGATTGAGGATCACTGATGCTTTATTGCTCTTCCCGCATTTATGGTTATGGCTAAATTTTAAACATATAGACGCTTCGCGAAACAGGATATTATAGTATTATTTCTAGAATTGAACAGAATAGAATGTTTACACAAAGTACTCGCAATCAAATAAAGCAAATGAAGAAATATGTAAATATAGTAAATGTGTGCATAAGTATATGAATATATACAAAAGAAAAGTATTTTTAAGTATGTCGATAAGTTACCTATTTTTTTATGTGAGAAGAACTTTCATTTCAAGAAGTTCACTTTAAATTCTTTTGTACCAGGTCATCTATTAATTGATACTCATGCTAATAAAAACTTAACTTGCTTAAACGTTTTCAGAACTTGATAAACTAAATAAATATAAAAGAATGTTCTACTAACTGCAGTGTTACTTGTCGATTGTTCGTAGGACGGGTCGAAACGGGAGAGATTACAAAGACCCTCGGGTCGACCTTTAACGAAAAAAGACAAACTAGTTGTATACCTTAAGCGGCTCTTTTGCTTTAAGAAACTAAAACGGTAACAAAACACTCTAATCCTTGAGACGGCCCTGTGCATGTGGCATTAAGGTATAAAGAACCCAAAACAATAGGTACCTTTTAAATGGAGCACCGATCTGCTGCGAGTGCTTAAGCGATAAAGGAAGGGATGACGTCATTCGAGCCCCCTGCCCGAATGACGTCATCGCTCTAATACCGTAATGCTCCCGAGTATTAGTACCGAATCACCAGATCCCATTAGTGCACTCCTAACTTCACAAGAAAACCTTTTAGCTAAATAGCAAAATTACCGAGCAATAAATAACGGACGTTTTTCTATCGCATCGCAAATTGAACGATGAGGTCGTATTACAGATTAAGTTTCCGTGACTTCATTTTAAAGGTCATAATTGTATCATTTAGTAAGAAATATACAATATGCTTTAAATATGACTTCAATGTAATAGAAAAACAGTATTTTTTATTCCCTGTCATTGTCCGAGTACATTCCTTTAATAATTAGTTTAGTATAGGTACACACGGTCAATCCGAGTTAAAATCGTGCCGGCTTCAAAGAAAATTGTATAAATGCAATAATTTTAAGCGCTAATTTACTCATACTCAGAGGAAGAAAAAATGTTAAGAAATACTTTAAAAAAATTATCGAATTTTGAGTAAGTTAGAGAAGGCATTGAGATGACAGTTAATAGATAAAAGTTGAAGGAAAGGACATGTTTCGCCCACCCCATTTAGTGGATAATGATGACAGCAAAAAGTATATTATTAGTATTGCGGAATATGGCTATACAATGTGTACAAAGCAGGTTTGGCAAACAAGAACTGAGACATGTACGACCTGTTACTTTTTATATATTTTTAGACATGAGAATAATACATGTGCAGGCATTGATAGTTCAAGTGATATAAAAGCCTGTGAAAGGCGGGACATTCCACACACTCGCAACGATGATGGTCACACACACACACACACACACGCACGCACGCACGCACGCACGCACGCACGCACGCACGCACGCACGCACGCACGCACGCACGCACGCACGCACACACACACACACACACACACACACACACACACACACACACACACACACACACACACACACACACACACACACACACACACACACACACACACACACACACACACACACACACACACACACACACACACACGAGTCGTCTACACTGCCCTAGCAGTCGAGCAGATGCAGGTACGCGCGGCGGGGAATACGAGTAGTACACTATAACCCGGTATTGTCTCAGGGTGCTCGCTTCGCCCACTATTGTTTTTTTTATGTGAGAAAGTGGCAAACGAGCTGGCGGTTCACCTGATGTTAAGTGATAACCGCCTGCCCTTGGGCATTTGCAACACGCGAAGGGTTGCAGATGCGTTGCCACCTCTTAATAATGTGGGCCCCGGCTACCTCACTCACCAGACGAAACGCAGAAGTGCAACATTTCTACTTTACGCCGGTCTTCTGTGAGGTCGTGGTACTAACCCGGACCTGTCCATCGTGCAACAGCGAACACTGTTGCGTGGTCCTACCACCGTTCCACGACCTACCACAGTGCAGCAAAGGAATGGAACAACCGTCCGAAATAACGTGTTCGATGCAACACTGAGTCAGAATATACTTATCGAGTACATTTATCACCTATAGCTATACCGTTACTTTACTAGTGATAAGTACAGCCAGTATTTGGAAAAAAAATCATGATCGAAAGACGATCGTGATTTGATTCCGCATTCTTTTGTTTGGTTTTTCTCATGGCAATTGGCTTTTGAGCTATTGCGTTTATCAGCTGCATAACAAAAAACTCACGATTGTGTATCGATCTGTTTCGTGAATCGTTCCTTTGTTCTTTTTTTTTTTCATTGCAACGGAACAATTTGTAGCCGGGATTGTGTTCAAGACGATCGCGACAGCCCTCGGCTTGAGAGCAATCAATCGAGTGCGGTTCGTGTTTTATTTTACAGTTCGCCACAGCCCTGTTAAAAATGGCCTTGGAACTGGATGATTTGTTTACTACATTATTACATGGACTAGCTTCCGCGTTATTTGAAAGCAACAGACAAGGGCTAAGGAGACGCAGTATTTATGTTTACATTTACATTCCTATACTTATATAAAATTGATTAAAATATATTAAGCAATCGGAGAAAATAAGCAAGCAATCTTTTTTTTTTGTATCGTCTTCGTCATGATACTACAGGGTTTTTGAAGATATCATGACCAAAAACTGGTATTTTAAGTTTCGTTCATAATGACTCGGTTGAAGCAAGTTGAAAATAATTACAAACTTTAAAACGGTCAATGTTAATAACCAACCTTAAAACTTATGTACTAATAATATGAGTAGAGATAGGTCACTTGTAGAAGAAGAAAAAAATTAAATGATGAAGGTCCTAACCTTGGCAGTTTTCCATCGAAGCAGTTCTAAAAACAAAATAACTGATTGTTACGACAAACAACTCATTCCTTTATAATAACACAAATTATGTAAAAATAAATAGTCATTAATAAAACTTCGCAAGGGAAGGAAGGGTACGTTAAACATAACATGCTTTTATAATACTCATTTTGCATCCGGAAGGGGAAAATGAATACACGGAGTGTTAGTTTTTGTCCGTATAATTTTCTCCCCGTTTCAAAAATAACTCCAAATACTCAGTGGCGCAGTTGCTAAGCTATTTACCTCGGTTTCGGGGCTCGTGGGTTCGATTCTCAAACGATACAAGTATTTGAAACATTATTTACGTGCAATTTTGTGTGCAAAAGAGTCCTTAGGCTTATCACGTCGTGATCGGTAGATGATTACCTATGAATCTGGGATTGGAAAGAGCCAATATAATCTGTTAACAAGTAGGATTGTATCTTTTAAATAAAACCAGTTCCACGCCACGGATGGATGCTTGTAAACAAACACAATGTAGAATTCTATAAATATCACTATGTACGCGTATGAGGAACGTTGTTTGCGAAGCGATAAGAGCGCCTAGCGTCCCGGTCACTCGGCTATTTGGGTTATCGGAGACAGAGCTAAATGGACGCGACGTAGAGACACGACCAACAGATAACACAAATGCGTTGCACCGAGCGGAAAAACATTCATAATACGGAGCAAAAATCTCGTTTCTTACTGAATGGTTAAGACCCTCACGAGCAGACGATTGGCCTGATTTTAAGTTATCACCTCACTTAGCGGATGAGTGCAAAAGTGTTCGCTGCTGCACGAATGGGCAGGTCCGTCCGGGTTATTACCACGACCTCACAGAAGACCGTTATCTGCGTTTCGCCTGGTGAGTGAGGTAGCCGGGGTCCATTTTATTAACAAGTGTGCCAATGCATCTGCAACCCTACGGGTGTTGCAAATGACCGTTGGCTGCGATTATTACTTAACGTCAGATGAACCGCCAGCTCGTTTGGCACTATCTCACATTAAAAAAAAAATAAAAGAACTTTTTCACTTTCAATTTATGTCGGTCTATTGCGAGGCTTCCGTACTCCCCCGGACAGGCCAGTAATGACGGAGTAATTCCTTTCGAAATTGCGAATGAAGTCCTAAGAAAAAGCGATGAAGATTGACAACCTTTAAATAATACATGACGTTGAATGGCGATAAAAGATGATTTTTCTTCTTTTTCTACTAAAAACATTGAAATCGGCCATGTAATTGCTGCGGTATGTTAGACCGCAAAAGTATTTTGCCTAATGCCTCCCTGGCGCAGTTGCCAGGTATTGGCTTCGGAACCAGGAATGGGTTTGATTCTCACACAGAAAAACTATTTGTAGTGGTCACAGATTTTATTTCGAGATCTGGTTGTTTGTCCACGTGTGTTCCACGAATTTAACAAGTATAACAAGCTTACAACACAGAACAAAACTTAAAAATTATCCTAAATCCTAAGCGATTTTTTTTCGATTCATTACACTACACCTAATGTACGATTTGAATGATGAGATCGACATCGGAAGATCTCGGAGGGAATGGGAACCGCCAGAGATAAATATTTACACAAAGAACGCGTCCCTAACGGCGGGCGAACCCAAGTTTCTAAAACCGGACAAGTACAGACTCCCTTCGGTGGATGTTTATGTGTCCATGCCGCGTGTTCCAGAGGCAACGACCGCTCCGTTAAACTGATAAGCCCTAGGATAACGTCGGAGGCGAATGGACACTTTAAATCTTGGAATACAATCCACTCGAATTGTTTTAAGATAGCTTCCGTGCGAGCTAGTGACGCGATGTGCTGATGTTGTTGTTTATATCTATTTAATCTATTGGTAACTAAAATAGCTCGATACCGGGAACAGCGCAATAAACAATATCCAGCTGTCATAAGAGAATTCATCCCGATGTATGTGTATATAGAATGCGAGTGCTCTGTCGCGATGCCAAGCTTTGACGCGCCGCGACATTTGTCCGAAACCTTGGCACTGGCCGCAAAAAACATGTGTTTATAAAAAAGAAAACATTTAACATTAGAAACGGAACGTTTGGAAATCTGACGAGAAACGGTCCCAATTCTTTGTGCGCTATAGTGATTTAATTGCTTGGTAGGCTCGTTTCTTCTTATAGGTATCTGCATTACCGATCGCGGATTCATTATCTCACGATAGAGTACTACGAGTATCTATGTATTTATTTGTACGGCCGTTTGCAATTTTTGCATGCCAAACGTCTGTATCACAGTCATGTTTTTAAACTGCCAAGGAGCCATTATTTATTATCTAAAGATATGTTCAAAATTATCTTCGAAGTTGAAACGTGGTCGAATTTATTTGCGGATCAATAAAAGTGTATCAAACGATACGCACAGTTATCTCAAACGTTTATGACTCCAACTCCTAACATATTACACGCATGCGCATACTTAATGCTAATTGGCAAAACAGTAAGTCTTAAACTCTGCAAAACGTACACAAGTGTGACCAGGTAGAAATTATTGAACTTGACATCTATTTCGTGTCGCGCGTCGGCCGTTTGGCAGCCGGCGGACACCTATCTGGCCACACCGATGGGGAGACGCGGCCGCCGACCGGTGCGGGCCGGTGAGGTCGGAATTAGACGCTCTCTCAACAGCAACACGTGCAGTCACGCGAGTTTAGCACGTGCGACGTTTAGCAGTTTAAACGTCACGGACGACGTCATCGCAACGTCATCGCCGCTACGCACAGATCAACGGGCGTACTAGGAGACGTCGAACACTTAAACTGAATTATTATACTGAAGTCATTCTTTTGTGTTATAATTGCCAGCGCCCTTCTACCAGCTCCTATTAGCCATCGTAGACTCATTTTTATTTTATTACACTTAGTTTATTTTTAATAGTTTAATCATAATTCGAATTGCAATTAATATTGTTTATTTGTGTTTAATTATTTGGTAATGATTTTTTATATTATCTATTGATTTTAGGTTGCATTTTGATTGTTTTTTTTTATTATGCATTCCTATAATGATCATAATAATAGCATATCATATAGAATAATATTTATAATAACTAATATATCTTCCTAGCCTATTTAAACAATATCTGAACTAGTGTTAACGATAATATGGTGAAAGGCAAATGGTGTCCGTTGAAGGGACTCATAGAGTTCTTTCCGAGAACGGTAAAAGTATCTATGACTCATTTCTATTATTATATGATGATATCTTATCATAACCATATCTTAATATTGATAATTACGAATCGACGTATTTGTCTGTTGTAAGTCCCTTTTTTATTAGCATGGGTTATTATAAGCTGATAAGAATTTAGATTTGTTTTATGTAAATATCTTTTAAACAATGTTACAAAATAAAAACATAACGTCAGTTAACACGTCATAACCGCCAGTACTGCAGTATCAGCACGGCGAAGGCGCACCGACGGAATGCTGACACTAAGACTTTGAGGAGAAGGCCCTTCGCACAGCTCCCATTTATCCAAGGTTTTATAAGAGGTATGTAGATGACACCTTCACCATTTTACCAACAAGTAAAGTTAATGCATTTTTAAATCACCTTAACTCAGTAAATTCCAAAATACAATTCACTATGGAATTAGAGAATAATAACTCTTTAGCTTTCTTAGATGTTTTGGTCATCCGCAATCCAAATAACACTATAAGTCACACTGTGTATAGGAAGGCAACCCATACAAATAGATACCTAAACGGTGACTCTCACCACCATCCATCCCAGTTAGCTACCGTGGGTAAATCTTTGTTTCAGAGAGCACAAGGGATCTGTGACAAACAACACCTGGCCGCTGAGCTTCAACATGTCAAGCAAGTTCTGCATGACAACAAACTTCGAGCACCGCGCCTACGTCACAGTGACCGAGTGAAACCAGCCACAGTGGAGCGAGTACCTGCTGTTCTACTATATGTCAGAGGAGTCACCGACAAGATTTGCTATATCTTAAAGCGGGCTTCAATTAATACATTCTACAAGCCGCTGAAGAAGATTAGTCAGTTTTTACCATCTGTCAAGTGTAATATCCCTCTGCAAGATCCAGGAGTGTACAAACTTGACTGTGAATGTGGGCTCTCTTACATAGGACAAACGAAAAGAGCTATAAAAAAACCCGCGTGAAAGAACATATAGCTGACATAAAACATAGAAGATTAAACAAGTCTGCAGTTTGTGAGCACACTGTAAATCGGCCCAACCACTACATCAGGTTTGATAGACCACAGATCCTTGCAAAAGAACACCGATTCCTCCCGAGGACGATTCGCGAGGCTATTGAAATTGAATTGAAACACCCTAATTTCAATAGAGAAGAGGGTTGGGTACTACCATCAGCTTGGGATCCTATCATCAATAAAATTAAATCTAAGCCCAAAAGAACCACTACTGCAAGACAAGATACAATTAGCTCCCTCTGCATAGATCGGACACAAAATCAATAATACAAAAACTGACGGTAGCCCGGGTTAACTTTGACAATCAGACGTCTAACACCTCAGTCTGTCCCGTGACCATGAACGCTGTAAAGGGTTCGAAACGTCGGGAACTAAAATTAAAAATAAACGCGATAAATCCGTAAAATTAGTTTCATTTATGCTGACACCATTAGTTTTAGTTCATAAGTTTTTGTAATTGAAAATCTGTCCATTCCAAATTGTCATACAGTAAACACCTTGTAATTAATTAAATAAATCTTTTTTATTCGAATACCGATCTCCGAATACTTAACTCGTCGCTTACCCGTTAAAATTAATGATTAAAGCTTCGGATTGGTTTTATTACATGTGTTTGACATTAGCTTTGTAAAACTTTCGCTAAAATTGTTCGGTTACAAAGCTGTGTTCGGATAAAATATATAGAAAGTCGCGGCAACATCGAAAACTGCAAAAGCAACTACTATGTTCGTCGTCACGAAACATACTCTGTTAGTGATATCTTAAGTAGTGACTCGTACTCATGAATATTCCTATCGGATAATTCACGATCGATCATAACGGCACTGCAAACGAAAACATAATGAGCTAAACAACTTTGTAAAGTGATATGAACATTACTGGCACAATGCCACGAAGAGCCGTGAACTTTCGGGTTGCTGGCATATAGAGGTTCGCTTTTACGCAAGACATATTTAAGCACCTCATTGAGCTATAGATCAGTACCAGCTTTTCAAGCGTTGCACGGTTCGGGCAAAAGTAATTTCACTCTATTCGCACTAAAGAATACAGTTTTTTGAAATCGGTTTCTTTTTTGTAAATTTTTTTTTTATATTTTTATTTTATTTCTCGAGTTATTCTTCTATTTGTCGCGCACATGCTTATATGCAAATTTAAAACATAAGCACCAGCTTATAAATGGAAAAAGAATCATCAAAATCGGATCACCCAGTCCAAAGTCGTGAGGTAATAATCATAAAAAATTATAGACATGAAGTTCGCGCATTCATAGACATTATTTTTTTGCTAACGACAAGATTGGAACTGAACTATACTACTTTTTACGGTGGTAGGGCCACGCAGCAGCATCGGCCGTTGCACGAATGGGCAGGCTCGTCCGGGTAAGTACCACGACCTCACGGAAGACCTGCGTAAAGTGGAAGCATAATACTTTCGCGTTGCGTCTGGTGAGTGAGGTAGCCGGAGCCCAATTTTAAAAAGTTGTCAACGCATCTGGAACCCTCGGGTGTCCATGGACGGCGGTATTTATTACATATTAACATCAGGTGACCCGTCTGTTCGCTTGGCAACTTTTCACATAAAAAACACTAGCCAATTGCACTGTGTCAGCTCTATCGTGCACATGATTAATAACACAAAGCTCATTAATGAGCCAAGTCGAGGACGCTTACTAAAATTATGATGTCGCCGCAACGCAATTGCCGAGGTATTGGCTCGGGCGCCGGCGGTGGTGGGTTCAATCTTCCGGGATAACTATTTGTGTGACCCACAGTTTTTGTTCCTGAGTTTGTTCACGTGAAATCTATGTATGTAAAACGTCCTTACAACACAGCATAATGATATCATACAATATGTTTGCAATAAAGAACAATAAAAAAAAAATCGAGTACACATTTTCACTCAAACGCCGCATGTTGCATGTTGCATAATAAACAAGGACGTCGTGTTCGTTACAGTGCAGACAAAGAGAATCGCTTAAAGGCATCGCACCTCAGGAATGCCATGTAGTCACCCTAAACAAGGCCGCGTATCCGGCGCACGTAAACCATTTTGCGATTTGCAAAATAAAACAATTCAAATTGACAATCTGGCCATCCGCAATTTAATTTTACTAATATTTAAGAAGAATATCGACTAAGCGATATTAGAGCAATCAAATGGCTGTAATGAACTTTAAAATTTGTACTCAAATCTCAACGTCGGTGTGGCAATCATTTACGATTAAAGACGTGGACGGGACGCAAGACGTGGGTTCGATTTCAGCAGCGGCCATAAACTTTTCCCCTTTTTGCTACAAATTTTAACGTTTCATCTTAAGTCCAGTGATTAGCACTATAAAAATTTAAAAATAAACTTTCGGTAGCTCTTACACCCGAGTCACGAATATGTAAGGTAAGTTCGATGCCGGGACATATCCGGACTTATCCGAACGTGCGCAGTCGTGACTCGGCCTCACAAAAGTCGAAGCAGCCCGTCCACCCACTTACCGTAATGGGTTGTCACCGAAGACCAAACGAAGCGTAGGTTTGAAATATCTCAATTGTTCTTTTGTTATATCATTTGTTTACTTGCAGCTTTACTGTTTAGCTACTAACATCACGCGTGGAAACAGTAAAAGTCTCGCTAGGGAAAAACTCGGTCAACACATTTTCATTCCAATAGAACTGATAAAATCGCCCTAAACTATTGCCTCCACCGAATCCTAATTTCATAATTTATAAGCCTCTAAGCTATCACATCACATTAGATAGCTATCATTGTAAACTTAAGTTTAAATAAAGACTAGAACAAAGCCATGTATAACCTAAAACATTCAAGCAGATTTCTAGCTTTTATGTCACTCAAAAAGGCATTTTGAAAAAGTGTTCATATCTTGATTTTTCTAGTTCTATATTCTATAATCACGAATATACGTCGTGATTATACAAATTTGAATTTGAATGGAAAGGCAGAATTAGAATGACCTCAGGGACGTAAGGTTCACGACAAGACGACAGAACGTAACAAATGTGACCTTCTAAGCGCACGCCATGATTGATTTTTTTGAAAATCCAACGATATATATTCGCGTTTCCTTCTCAATGAGTACTCACATATTGTGACCCACTTATGGTGACAATTTAAACCAATGCGCCGTGCGTTGGTTTAAAAGGTCACCTCATCAAATGCCGTGTTGTGAGTTTCATTGACAAAAACTTTAATTCATGGTAATCAATTGATATAGAAGCAACAATCCTAATTCTTTTTTTATGTGAAGGTTCACCTTATGTCGAATGAATACCGCCACCGATGGCCTCTGGAACACCCGATGGCTTCCTGAGAACCGGCTCCGACTTTTTAAAAGGTTGTCGATGCACCCTATAAAAAGTGGGACCCGGATACCTCATTCAACAGACGAAACGCGAAAGTTTATCACTTCCACTTCACGCACGTCTTCTGTGTGGTACCTTCAAGGAGGACGGTGCCCGTTCGTGCAACGGCATAAGCTGTTGCGTGGATTGACCATAGTAAAAAACTTCGTAAATAAAACATTGTGTTTACGCGTTTTTTCCATACA